AAAGTTTCTTCATTAGTTCCCTGCTCTCAGTGGCACGGCACAAGAGCCTCCGCTGAGATGCGAGCTGACACCTTCGGAAAATCAGCTGCCGATTTTCCTGACATTTCCTTTTTTTCATCAGGGGCTGAGGCAGTGATAACAAAGGCAGTTTCTCCTCTGGATAGAAAAGATGAACACATGTTGCATTAGCACGTGATGGGATCTGAGTCCTGCCAGTGAAGGGAACCCACCCAACCCCGGGGAATGGGACAGCCCGCTGGAGAGCTGCTCGGGGAGCACACTGAATTTGAAGCAATCGCTGCTTGAGCGATGCCGCCCTTCCCACACACCAGCCCGTCCCTTGCACGCCCGCTCGCTTCTGGAGCTGAACCCCCTGCCCTGTGACACTGGACGGACCCACACGACAGGACAGCACAAGTGGGAAGTGGGCGCCGCATCCCACATGCCACGTGTGACCGGGGAGCGACTCGACGCAGATCTCGGCAGAGCCACCGGCCCAGCCGCCATCCTGCAACCAAGCAGCTTCGGCTGGAAGCCCATCGCTCCGCTGGGAGCTCTTGAAAGCAACAAAAATGACCCAAAACGCTGCCATGGTCGACTTAAGCCTGTGCTTGCACTCAGAGCAAGAGATTTCATCCCCGGCACCTTCCCCCTTCCAACCCAAAGCCGCTTTTATTGTCTTGATCTAATGAAGTGCAGACTTCACCTGGACAGATCCATAAGTGGCTCCTCTCGGAGGCAATGAATACAAATACTTGACCTCGTGAGCTGCGGGGCAGCAATTAGTTTAAGCAGGGGGTTTGTGTAACACTTCAAAAGTCTTAATCCGTGCGGTCAGCCCTGGCACGGTATTTGCCAGAACCTATTGAGTAGTCTTAATGAGTCTGCAAAGCAAGCTTTCAATACATTTTGGGTCGCTTCAGATGCTTTAAATGGCATAGTCTATATCGTATTGTGCGGCTTTAGAAAGGCCCGGGCTTTAAAAAAGTATGGCTCCCTTTCACAGGGCAGACAGAAACCATCTTTAGAGCCGGGACCCTTAACGTTTTGCATATCAATATGGCTGGGGCTGAATGCAGTCACTCAGCTGAGAAATAGGATCACTATCAGCGTTTCCAGGCTTTCACAGGCACTTGGGAAACTTTAAAGCCCTTCGTGGAGAATAATTTGGTCGAATGTCTTGGCTGGAAACAAAACCTAAACAAGCAGAGCGCAGTCCATCATGCGGAGCTGCCAAGGAGGCCGACAAGAGGCTCCAGCCGCTCCAACATCCAGCGCCCAGCGGGTCGGTGGCCGGGGCACTTGCGGTCATGGGGAGACCCTGCACTGGACGTGGGGTGCTAGGGCCCTCCTGGCAATGGCCACATCCCTGGGAGGGCTCTGGGATTTTCATCAGCAGAAAACCAGTCCTGATTTCACAGAATCACAGAATCACAAGGGTTGGAAGTGACCTCAGGAGATCATCTAGTCCAACCCCCCTGCTAAAGCAGGTTCTCCTAGAGCGTGTTACACAGGACTTCATCCAGGTGGGCTTTGAATATCTCCAGAGAAGGAGATTCCACAACCCCCCTGGGCAGCCTGTTCCAGTGCTCCGTCACCCTCAGAGGAAAGAAGTTTTTCCTCATATTCAACTGAAACCTCATCTCTTCTTACTATTCTTTTCCAATATCCCAGTTGCTTAATACCAGCCATAAAGCCCCCAGGCTCTGGCATCACGCCGGTGGCACCTGTGTCTGTCCCTGGTGCCCCTCACGCATGCACAGACTGACAGCATGATGCCCTGCTCCCTGCGCAGAAACAGGCAACTCTTTGCATTTAATTCCGATACCACATTAAGCGCATCCTCCCAGGTGCCACTCATCCCGGCAGCAACCAGACGAGCAAGCGTGCTCAGCCTCAGCTACAGCCCGGAGCATCAGTACCAAAAATACACATCACCTCCAAAGGGCACAAAGGAGGTGACAGTGGCCGGGACAGAGGAGCTGTGAGGGGCAAAGCACAACGTGCCAGCATCAAACCACCCCAGAGCTGGGATGAAAGGGGCCAGCGCCCAGCGTGCATCCCAGGAGAGGCGGTACCTGCCACCTCCGGCACATCCAGACAGCAGCAGCGAGGAGGGGAGGTGATGGCATGCCCAGCATCAGCTCTGGGATAGCAATGGCACACATGGTGTCAACTTTGGGATGGTGATGGCACGCCCAGCACCAGCCTTGGGATGGCAAGGACATGCCTGGCACCAGCTTTGGGATGGCGATGGCACGCCTGGCGCCAGCCTTGGGATGCGGCAGGATGGAAGAAACAGCAGCCAAAGCATATTTGCAAACAATGCGGGGCCTGAGGGCCCTTGAAAACACATAATTAGCTCATTAAAGAGACAAATACAAGTCACTAATAAGATACTAGAGGTTAATTAAATGTTTTCCCCACCTTTAATTAAGGGAAAACTAGTTAATTCAGATTAAACTAATTTCTGCAGCCTCCCATGATGGCCCTCTATGGCTGCAGATTTGAAAATCTATTGAGATTATTGAACTGAAAGGTCAGAGTTTGGGGCTTTTGTTCGCTCTGCCTGGGTGAATTCGGGAGAAGCAGGGATTTTTATCCTACGGGTTACAAAATGCCTTGCTTTATCATCTGGGTTACTCAAAGAACATAAGAAGGTATGTGATACACAACTCCCTCTCCTTAACCCCGGACCTGGAGTTTATTCAAAACTACTGCCGTTAATTGTTTTTCTTAACTAGGAAATTCCTGTGAACCATTTTCTGTCTGCAAAACTTACCCCACGCTTGGGGACTGCTGCTTGGCCAGCCTCACCCACCGCCCAACGGCAGCCGCTGCCTGCACTCAGCACCGGAATTTGCATTAGCAAAAACCCACTGGTGCACACCCCCGAGGCCAACTGGTTTCCAAAGTTTTTATTGTGGGTGGCAGAGCCATCATCCCCATGCACACCCACGCACCCACCCATGCACTCGCACACGTCCACTCGCCCCCGAGAACCGTCACAGTTAATATAGATTAGCAAAATTTATATGGAAGAATATTTAATCTGGTCAGGGAGGGGAGAGGGATCATCTGTGGTTTTATTTCTTAAATATTTCTCTCTACTCCAGAAGGGTCCGTTTCTTGCCAGAAAAGGTCCAATATAAATTAGAACGAAGGGAGGAGGTTGCTGGTGGGGCGGCCATGAGCATCCCTGGACCACAGTCCTGGCTCCACACAGTGCTGGGCAGACTGGATCCCAGCACAGCAGCATGCCCTATGGATGGCTCAGTCCCACCCAAAATCCTGCCCTGTCATCTGATAAAACTTCATGTTGAAGGGTCTGTAAAACTCCCGCAGGCGCTGGACCACCTGCATGTCGATTTTGGGGTGCGGCCGCCCCTTGGATTTACCCAGGCAACGGGGCTTGCTGCCGCCCTCTGGCTTCTTCAGGCAGGGAAAGCCCTTGGTCTCATTAAAATAGAAATGTTTGTCTGTCACCACCCTCTTGAGACCCAGAAAGTCCTGGACACGGCCCATCTCCCCGGCCGGGTCGCTGACGAGCCTCTCCCCACTGACAAAGAGGAATTTGGAGAGGGGGAAGTACTGCAGCCAGTTGTCCAGGTGCTTGGCGTAGATCCCAATCCTCACTGCGCTCCAGCTCGTGTCAATCAGTCCCGTGCTGACGTTTTTGAAGGCCAGGGTCTGGAAGCTGGGGATGGCGGGATTTTTGGAGAGTGTCTGCGTATAGTCTGAGATGGCGCGGGTGACGGGGTTGCGCACCACCACGATCAGCTTCGTGTCCCGAGACATGTTGTAGATGCGCTGGGGAGCCTCCTTGGTGACAAAGTAGCTGGGGGTCTTCTCCATCGTGATCTGCCCCTCCAGCGTCCGCGGCATCAGGCTCCTGGGGAGAGAAAGGGGGCACGATCAGGATTCAAGGCACGGCTGCTCCGACCTGATGCTGCGACGGGGACGAGCGGGGAGCAAGCCCCAAAACCCAGCCAGAAATGCCATGGGGCTCCCCAACCATGACCACCTCTCCCCTTCCCCTCCTGCCAGCCAGGGACACTGCCTTGTCACACCCCAACGGTCACCTCCTCGTCTTCGAAAGCCCTCCTAGGAGCTCCTGGTCTCTCCTTTCTGCTCACCTCATCTCAGCCTCCCCTTCATCCCTGCCAGGGTCTGTCCCCAGGCAGGGACTCCCCGTCACCCTGCCCCGCCAGCAGCACCATCCAGAGGGCACTTGCAGGCTGTCGCTCCCCCTTGGAGGTCCCCTGGGACCCCCTTCCCAGCCCTGGAAATCCCTCCTGTCCCCTCCTCCTCCACCCCAGTGAGTTTAGTGGTGGCAACTGGCATCTCCATGTGTGCATTTTGGGATGGGGCTGGTTTGCACCCCAGCCTCCAGGAGGATGGGTGGCATGTCCTGGAGGTGCCAACTCGCCACGTAGGGTGGCAAAGAGGAAAGTCTCATCACTGGGGTGCGCATCCATGGGGGTGGCTGGAGATGGAGATGCCCACCAAGGCTCCCACCTCCTCTGCCTCCAGACAGCAAGCAGTTAAGGCCAGAAAAAGACTGTTTCCTTTGGAAAAAAAAAAAAAAAAAAAAGAAAAGGAAGCAGAAAACCTCTCAGGGCCCAGCCATTGTGCTGTGTAAAATTCACTGCTCTGATTGTTCCCTGGTGCACTTTAATGAGGCATTAATTGCTAGAGAAATTACCCAGGCATGTCACCCTGTGAGGAGAGCCAGGGGCTGCAGAACGGGTCCCCCCCTGCCACCAGCACAGGCACCTGCCCCAGAACTCTTCGTGTCCCCTAGAGCCTTTTGCATCCCCCCTTCTTGGGGGCGGACACATCCCCTCTGGCCACACTGGTGAAGAAGGGCTTGGTTTCTCCAAGGGTAGAGCCCCCCAAGATCGTGAGGCCAGTGCAGATGTGCCAGGGGACCAGCAGCTCCCGCTACTGTGTCCCAGCCACGTCCCAGCATCTCACTCCCACAGCACCCATGGGTGCCCTTGCTGATGCACCCCACATCACTGCAGAGATGTAGCTCGTTCTTCACGGGGTTCATCTGGGATTGAAACAGCTGCCACAAACTGTGGCCCCCATCCCCTCCAGCACGCTTGGGGTGACGTGCACGCTCCCTTTCCCCAGCCACGTAAAACAGGAACCTCTTGCTGGAAGCATTGGGCTGGAAACTCATTCTGCCCGGAGCACAGCAATGTTCTGCTCAGCCCCTCTCTACCTGACCCGGGCAGCTGTCCCAGCACCAGGTCCATCCTGAGCAGGGCGGCTGCTTTCCCGCAGGGAAGGGACGGGAGGCTTTCAGAGGTTTGCTTAATACTTTGGGAAATGACCAAACCACTTCAATAGCGCTTCCGAAATAAAAACTACGTGTCTGCGTGCACAAAGAAATAATTAATCCTGTCCTTCGCTCCCAGCTGGGACTTTTCTTAGCGGATGGCAGAGCAGGCAAGCGCTGGTTTACAACAGGAAACTGAGGCACCACGCAATGACACGGCTTGCACAGGAGCTGCTGCGTAGATACCTACGTTCATCCAGCCAACACACATCCACCATCCCAACACAAAATCACTTGTATGGGCCAGCAAATACATGGGGCTCCAACCCAAGCTGCTCTACTCCCAGAGGCATCTGGGCTCCAGGGATCATGAAGTCTCTTGGAAAAAGTACTGATACCCAAATATTAACTATGGCAAAGGATAAAATAAAGCAAACGAAAAAAAAATCAAGCCTAATGGAGACATTTCACACCGAAAGGAGAGAGTTGGGACTGGACAGCCTCTTTCCTACAGGAACTTTCCCTTTTGCCTGATCTTGGAAGAATTCTGGTTTTAACACTTGAGGTTCCCCCTGGGGTCTCCCCTTCACCCCTGGGGCTGCTGCACACCTGGGGCTCACTGGAAAGGAGATGAGCTTCCCCAGTCCATCCCCGTACACCTCTCCTCCCGCACCTGGGTGGGATCAGGATTTATTTTTTTTTTTAACATTGCTTGTCTGAGGCCAAGCCGCCCCAAGGACGGGGAGAGCTCCACAACCCTGCTCAGGGGATCCCTGCAGGGACACTGGCAGAGCAGGAGGATGAGGATGGAGCTTCCTGCCAGGCCGTGGCTGGGTCCCACGGTGGGGCCGGCTCTTGGCAGCGGCACTTTGGAGCAGGACAGGGTGTTTCAGAGATCCCCATCCTGGGGCTTGGAGCTGGGCAGGGAAGAGGGGTCCCCATGGTGGGAGGGTTCAGGCCATGCAGCAGCCGGGGCTGTGCTGTGAGGAAGCCAGGGCTCTGCCCAGCAGCATCTGTTCCTTATGTAATGGGAAAAGGCTTGAGGTTTTTGGTTTTTTTTCCCCTGGACGTAGGAAAGAACACTTTATTAAAAGCATTTGTGAGCAATGCTGGGCTCTGCACAACTCCCTCCCATAAACAAGAGGCAAAAGCCACTTGTGGCTTTTCCCCCCCCCCTTTTTTTTGTTTTGGACAATGCTGTTTTCAGAGCCACTTCTTGTCCCTGGCGTCACCATCTGGCAGCCCAGGCACTCATTTGGCACCAGCGGTGCCCAGGCAGGCTGGATGCCCTTCAGGGGTGCATGCATCCTGGGAGCAGCGATAGGTGCTTTCCCCAACCTTTCCAGCACCTTCCCCCCCTACCCCAAATAACTGTGCTCACCGGAGGGAGTTCCCACTGGGAAGCGTCCTCCCAAACCAGGATCGGGCCCTTGTACCCCATGCCCCATCCCTTCTCTTGCCATGCTCGCCCAGAGCAAAGTAAAAACCAACTGTGCATCTCCCAATGCCTCTGTTCGCACACCTCCAACCTGCTGCTCGGCCCCCTGCCAGCCCAAGCCAAGCCAGCAGAGTGTCTTTAATTACTCTCAGAAACCTGCTGTAGGCTTTGCCAGGCTGCTTCATGCAGCTTCTCTGGGTGACTTGAGGAGTTTCTGCCGCTCTGCAGCACTTCCCCACATGCCACTGGGGTTTCTGCTCAGCAAAACGGCTCCTTCCTCGCACTGCTCACACACCCCAAACCCTCTCTCAGCCAACATGGGCTTAAGACCTAAAACAGTCACTCTCCTCAAGGGGCAATAAAATGTTTATTATCAACGAGTGAATGCTTGGGATGACGCGATCCAAGAGCCTGCAGAGCCCATGTTAAGCTGAAATACTGCTTTTCTCAACCTGTGCTCCGCTAACCAGCACCGACTGTACCTGGGCTTGGGAATTCAGAGTTGCACTCAGCTTTTGTAAAACACGCTGGTTTGGGTTTGCTGCAGTTGCCATCACGGTATTCCCGAGGACACAAACCAGGATGGAAAGCCGTGAGCTGCCCCTGTGCCAGCGGTGCTCCCAACAGCACTGGCGCAGCCGCCACGAGGGACGACACGAGTCTGGAGGCCCCAGCAAAGGCTTTGCTAAAATATTTCAGCAAAAGCCATTTTACCCTTCCCTCTCCCTTTTTGCAGAGCGACAGCAAGGGCTGGGCTGAGCCCCACGGTGCCAAGGCTGCCCCTAAGGGGTCTGCGGGGCAGGGGGACCCCCAGGACCCCACTCACCACAGGCAGCCCAGGAGACCCGCACCCAGCAGTACCAGCACCTTCCCCACACTCATCCTGTGGACCAAGGGCTTCTTAGCACACAGGAGCAGTACCAGCTTTAATTAAAGCCAACACCACCATCCTAGGCTTAATTAAAACTTAATTAAAATAGAATTTTTAATAAAAGACCCTGTTGGGGCAGGGATTCCCAACTCTCTTTGCACAGGTACCGCCGAAGCAGCGGCGAGTGGCTCCCATGCCTGGGAGCCGTGGTGGGGTGCACAGACCTTCCCTGCCCCCAGCACAGCCACATACTTGGTCCCCGCAGCAGGGACAGCAAAGGGACAGAGAT